AGAGTAAGACAATGGTCCATTATATAAAATCCCAATCTAATAAAAGCTGAAATGTAATGTTGTCTGTTTCCCAAATTTTAATTTTGTTCAGGCTCCGTCATGGTGACCAGGGATTGGAAAATGACAGCAAAGAGCGTCTGGGGAATCTGGGGATGGAAAAAATGTAGTCTGTATTCTAAGAGGGGACAGAGGTGATGGCTACAAAATTCTACATATCTAATGAAATTATTCAGTTCTACATTTGCGATTAGTGACTTTAATTACAAGTAACTTGTTCAATGAAATTTCTGGTTTCTACTCCAACGTGTAAGGAGCCAGGAGGTCACCACTTCTCCTCACAACAAGAAAAAAGGTGAACAATCTGAAAATTATCAAACCTTATTAGAGGGACTAGAGGAGAGGTCACAGGGCAAATTGCCATGCTGAAAACAAGAAAGACAGGCAAACACAGGAAACAGAAGCTGCTGAAGCCAGCAATTGGGGGGAGGACTTAAATGGTACTGACAGATTACTAGAAGCTGAGGTTGGCCTGGCTTGAGCATTCAAAACTCCCTGGGGCCCAGATTTAGAGGGGATCTCACACTTTTCTAAGTTTTACCACCTGGAGCTCAACCAGGTTCTCATAGTAAAGATCAGAAAAATGCCTACAGAACTGACACTGCTGACTTCAGCTCTAACTAAAAAGCTACAGTAATCAAACAGTATGGAAATTTGTGAAGAAAGAAAAAAACAGACAAATAGGTCACTAGAAAAGAATACAGAGCTCGGAAATAGACTGATCTTTGAGAAAGGCACAAATGCAATTTAACATGGAAAGGATAGTCTTTTCAACAGATGGTGCTAGAATGACTAGATACCCACATGTGAAAAATAAATAAATCTAGGCACAGATTTTACACCTTTCACAAACGGATCTTACAACTGAATGTAAGGTGCAAAACTGTAAGACTCCTAGAAGATAACATAGGGGAAAATCTGGGTGACTTTGGGTTTAGCGATGACTTCTCAGATACAATGTCAGAAGAACAATCCAGGAAAGAAAAATTGATGTTGAACTTCATTAAAATTAAAAACTTCTGCTCTGTGAAAGATATTGTTAAGGAAATGAATAAACAAGTGATAGACTGGGGAAAAAATATTGGCAAAAGACAGATCTGATGAATGTCTGGTGTCCCAAGTATATAAAGGACTCTTAAATCGCAATAATAAAAGAGCAAACCACCCAATTTAGAAATGGGCAAAAGATCTGGATACTTCACCAGAAAAGATATACGGATGGCAAATAAGCATATGAAAAAGATGCTCAAAATCATGTGTCACTAGGAAATTGCGTATTCAACCAATGAGATGCCACTACACTATAATATACACCTAATAGAATGGCTCAAATCCAAAGAAGTGACAATACCAAAGGCTGTCAAAGATGCAGAGCAACAGGAACTCTCATTCACTGCTAGCGGAAATGCAAAATGCTAGTCACTTTGGAAAACAGTTTGGCAGGATTTTTTTTTTTTTTTTTTGCAAAGCTAAACATAGCCTTGCCACATAATCCTGCAAACAGCAGTTTTAGGTATTTACCACAGTAATGTGAAAACATGTTCACTCAAAAACTTGCATCCAATTATTTACAACAGTTTTGCTCACACTTGTCAAAAACTGGAAATAACCAAAATGTCCTTTACTAAGTGAATGGCTAAACAAACTGTGGTGTATCTGTACAACACAATATGATTCCTTGATAAAAAGAAATGAGCTATCAGGCCATGAAACGACATGGAGGAACTTTAAATCCATAATGCTAGGAAGAAACTAGTCTAAAGACTCTACACACTGTATGATTCCAACACTAGGATATTCCAGGAAAGTCAAAATGGTAGAGATAGTGAAATGATCAGTGATTGCCAAGTGTGGAGGAGGGATGAATTGGTTGGACACGAGGAAGTTTTCAGCAGTGAAACTTCGGTGTGATGCTGTACTGAGGATTCATGACACTAGGTAATTGTCAAAACCTACAGAACTATAAAACTCAAAGAATGAACTCTAATGTAAACTATGGAGTTAATAATAACATATCAATATTGATTGATCAATTGTAAACATCTATCACACTAATGCAAGATACTAATGATAGAGGAAATTGTGTTCTAGGGGACAAGAGAGAATAGGGGAATTCCCTGTGCTATCAGCTCAATTTATCTGTAAACCTAGAATTATTCTAAAAAATACTATTAAATTTTATTAAAATTATGACATGACAGCCCCAAATCAAAATTTTTGTGGCATCCTGTTACTGTGTGGTTAATACTGGGCATTGGGGTGGATCAACCTGGAGTCAGAACGGTTGGAGATATCAATGCCTGTGCCTTCAACCTCTGGGTCTGTGGGTGTCCCTGGAATCCAGAGAGCAGATCAGTTAGCTTGAGACAGCCTCAATGTTCCAGATAGTGCAGGCTTCTGGTAAGGACAGGGAGAAATCATCTCAGGGCAGTAATATGGCTGATATATATTTCATTCTGGATGTGGGTGAATCTTGAAGTCTAAAAAGTGTTTAACTTAGAAGACAGATACTCTCTGCTCATGATGTTAAGCACAAATTTAGAATCGTTGTTAAACTTACATCTTTATTTCCCTAGCTGGCCAGAACCTCATCAGTAGCTACTGATGTCACTAGTGTCCTCTGATCACCTTGGCAGTGTTAACTGTTTTGATCCAACAGGAAACAGGTGTTGCTTCTACCTAAGATGCTGACACCTGGCAGAAATCCAGGGTCACTGGCCCAGAGCAAGTCATCCAGCTGTTCATAACAACCAAAGGAAGACCCGGCCATCCACTGAGGTCATCTCCATGCAGCATGAGCCACTTGCTCTAATGAAGCCACCATCACTACACTTCTCATAACTCGCTATTCACTAGACTGAGAGTTCTGTGAAAGCTGAGATAATATTCTACTCATTTCTGTGTTCATGATTCCCAGCTTAGAGTCTGGCACTAAGGAAGGTCTCAGCAGTGTTCACTGAAGGTAGGATAAAACTGACTACAGATATCCAATCCAATCACCAACATTCCTCTCTAAAGTGTCCTACCAGGGATGCTATAATTTCTTCCAAGATGCAGCAAGCCCCCTTCCTACACCTGTAGACCCCTGCTCTACACCGGTCATACCCCAGGATCTTCTGTGGGACACTGGAGGAAAAACGGGACTACTCTGAAGAATTCCTCTTATGGTTCCCCTTGTCATTAGGAGCAATGCCTTCACCTATACTCCCATCCTCTGGGCTGCCAAGACACCCTACTTTCAGAGAACTACTATATTTTCTTGAAATTATGTCTCTCTGTTCTTTCATGAGCTTGAATTCCTTGGAGAAACACTACTACTTGAACCCCAAGTGCTTAACACAGTGTAGAGAAAATTAAACACCCAGCAAATACTCATATCATATAGAGACCTTCCTCAACTGAAAGTGCAGAGAAATAGCGTAACTATCACTGCTTCATATACTGGCAAGAAACATTTACTCTGGCACTTGACCTAGGGCAGAACTGTTTCATTTAAGAACAGACATCTCCAAGCATGGTTCTTCACTCTAACCCACACTGACCTGAAGAGCGTCCACTGCTATGGCAGCCCTGAGGTCGAGGCTCCTGGGTCTGGGGTGGGGCTCATGGTTGCATCTGCACCCTCTTGGAGTTGGTGCTGCCCCTCACTATAAACCGGCTCTGATCCCCCCTTTGGCTCTCCCTGGCCAGGGTCAGGAGACTCCTCTGGAGTAAGCTTCTCTCTCGGTCCCCGCTTCTCAGCTTGCGCTGCTCCTCGAGTGGTTGAGTGATCATAGGCCCATTGCCATTTCTCCTGAGGCTTCTGGCCCAGTTTGTCTTTATTCTCCCCTTCTTTTTTTCTCACCTGTTTTATCATTGACTTGTCCTTTGCAGGTTATTCTCTTTTCCAAAACCTGCTGACTTTCCTTCTTCCATCTGATCCCTCGGTTCTTGGCTTCCAGGGTGTGGACTCAGCTCAGTCTCTGCAGGAGAAACACAGGGGCCAGAGTCAGGAGTCAGACCCAGAGAGGTCAGAGGCAGGTTACAGGTCCAGGTAGTGTTAAAAACCACCTTAGTCCCTCAAGGACTCAGAGAAAACTGAGCAGGAAGGGACCTCAGAGAGGTACAATAAGCTCCTACTTTACTGATGAGAAAACTCAAGTCCAGAAAGACTAAGACTCTCCCAGGCTCCCTCACCACTTGGTGGCAGCAGATACACCACGCAAGCCTGGGCCTCAGCCTCCCTGTGCAAAGCAGGTAACTCACCCTCCAGAAACTCACTGCTGCCTTTCAGAAAACTTTGGATCCAATACAGCAATTTCACCTTGCAAACAGAGTAAAAGGGCCTTTCCTTGGACAATTCTTTATCATGGTTCTATAGTCCTATTACTTATTCTCAGTCTGTTGTCATTTGCTGGCTTGTAGATTGGGGCAGGGAGCACGTGAGGATTAAATAGTGCTTAACACAACCCTGCTTTCCCAGTCTGGGCATTCAGCTCCTCCATGCTCCTCAGGTAGTTTCCTCTGCTGTAACTGCTGGAGAGTCCAGGCCCTCATGCGGGTCATTTCTCCATGAAGATCCGTGTTATTTTTTTCGTCTCCTGGAGATAGAGAGGGCAGAGATTTGTTCTGGGACTCCATAGTTTTAGGTTTTCTCCTAAGCCAGCCAGGTCAGCTGAAAGCAATCATGATTAAGCGAGGTCAGGTCTGTGAAGACGATCTCAGAGGAACACGGGCTCACAAGGACAGTCCCACGTGGAGATGGTCAGGACTGTGACACGGGCAATATCTGACCAATTCTGCTGGGGATGACTGACCAAGGATTAAGCAGAGGATGCTGCCATGAGGAGAAAGGAGAGGAACCAAAGGAGTGGGGGAAAAAAGATAGATAATAATGGTTTCAAGAAATGCAGAGCAAAGATCCCAGAGGTAAAGTCCCACAGGATGGAGGCTCAGTCCCAGACTGTGGGTCCTACTTAAGAACCTCCTGCTGGATTTTGCCCAGCTCCATTTCCAAACTATTTTGGATCAGTGACTTCCTTCTCCCTTCCATGTTCCTTCTTTTTGAACTAGAATCACTGTAATTGTTATTCTGTGTCTGTCCCACCATTCTACATTAGGATCAGATAAGCAGTTTGTTCAGTTTCACAGGTCGACGGAGGTAAGGAAATTATGTCAAGGATCTGTACTTAATGGACACCCTCAGAAGCCTCATCCACACCTGGTATGGATGTTTTAGATGAGATTTTAAACTTTGGATCTGATGTGGTCTATGTAACATTTTTCATATTGAACTAATGCTTTAATGACATGAAATTTGGAAACTTTAGAGGGGAGCGTGCATGTATTTTGCAGATGGGGGAATGTGAGTGTCCAACTGTGGTAGACGGAATTTCTAAAATGGTCCCCAAACATGCCATACCCTTGTCTCTGAAGCCTGTTACGGTGATGAGACACCATTCCTGTGATTATGTTGTTATATGACAGTTACATGACTTGAAGATGGGGAAGTTACCTGCATGAAGTGGTAAACCTCCCCGAATTGCATCACTCTGTAGGTGACAGAGCTTTCGGTGGCTGGTTGGAGAAGACAAAGTCAGAGAAGGGAGGAGCCTGAGAGGGATTCCATGAGTCGTGATTGGTTGAAAGATGGAAAACACAGGCAAGGAGGAAAGCAGGTGGCCTCTGAAGTCAGAGTGTCTCCTGGCTGACAGCCAGCACAGAAAAAGGGCCCTCAGCCCCCCACAAACAAGAATAGAAACTCTTTCAATACATGTAGTGAACTCAGAAAAATAGCCTGAGCTCTAGAGAAAAAGCATTCCAAGGCCATTCCTGGATTTTAGCCTCACATGACCCTGATCAGAAAACTCAGGAAGAAAGGAAAAGAAGGAAAGATGGGGAGGGAGGGATGGGGAAACAGACAAACTTACATGAAGATGAGAAGATCCAGGGGAATTAACACCACCAATATTTTCCATTAACAGGAACACACCAACCAGTTGAGAGAGAGAGATGCACTACCATAAAACCACATACTGTGTGTCCATGGCATACAATCCTTCCTGCTTCTCTAGGACACTTTCTGTCTCTGGCCTGCTGTTGCGAGAGACACTGAGTCTTCCCTTTGCACAAGTTCTGGCACCCACAGGAATGAGATGAGACAGTGAACCCCAGAAAACCAGGCCACTACCTTCCCTGCTGCTCCTTGTCCACTCCAGAAGCTGCCTGGCTGCAGGTGGGGGTCTCAGCCCCCGGGTCTGACATCGTCCCTTTGCCTTTCTCACTGGACTTCCTCCTTGCACTGGCTCCCACTCTCCCAGGACCTGGCAGATGACCATATGAGAAGGACACAGACAGGCCACGCCACTTTCTTTCGCCCCCTCTCGATGCCTGCAGTGGTGGGTTCCATGGGGTAGTGACCTGATATTTACTCATTATGGTGCCCCTAGCCCAAGCAGGGCCTGGCACCTAATAGCCACCCTGTGAATGCTCAGTGAAAGAAGGCGTCCACCACAAGGTCCTCAGGAACCAAGAATTCCACAGTGGCCCATCAATTTTAAGTCCTACGCCATTCTAGAATGGGAGATTGAAAGGCCTTTAGGAGTGACCACTCTCTGAAACCATATACTGGCAGCTAATCCATGTTTCCCCATCCTGGACACATCTAGAGGGCACCGCCTAAATCCAGACACATCTCCCTACCCAGGACAGTGCAGGGGCCTTAACCTGGGAAATGCAGGTGGACAGGAGAACCAAGAAAGCTGAAGAGGAGAAAGCAGGTGAAAAGGAACAGCAAGGTGAAAACAGAGAGAGAAATGGGGATGGAGACTGGGGGTGAGAGGGGAAGACAGAGGAGAAGGACGTAGATCTAGCCACTGAGAAAAAGGCCTGAAGAGAACACTGTCCTCTCCTGAAGTCAAATAACTTCCACCTGACCATGCACTGCAGCTCGTGGGTGGCACATGCTGGTCATGCTGTGATGTTTAGGGCCTATGGAATCTTCCCTTCTTATCTGAATCCCAATAGAGAGAGGACTCTCTGACCCCATCCAGATGGCAGTGCCTCAGGATTTTTACCTGCTGGATCTGGCAGCTCTTCACGTCAGCCCACAACGTGTGAGGCTGCTTTTGGTGCACTGAATGGGGAAGATTCTACATCAGTGCCTCGGAGAGTCCACTGGAAGCCCTGGACAGTGAGAGTCGGTGGTGCTCCGGCATGGAGACCAAGAGCACACAGCACTGAAGCTCCAGACACCCTCAGGAGGACAGTAAAGGACAATGTGCCGGCGAGAGCCTGGGTCAGCAGGAACCTCCGCCTGGGTCTGAACATGATTTGCCTTCATACAGGCTATGACATAAAAGAGAGAAATCAAGGTTAATATTAAGATTTGGGGCTTAGGCAACGTGAAGGATGAAACTGCCATTTGTTGAGACTCAGAAGACTGAAAAAGGGGCAGACCGAAAGGTGGCAGGAACTAGGGTTGGTTGGGTTTCTGTCATACACAATCAACAGTCCTGACCAGCCTGGGCAACATAGTAAGACCCTGTCTCTGAAAATTAAAAAAAAATTAGCCAAGCATGGTGGTGCACATGTGCAGTCTCAGCTACTTGGGAGACTGAGGCAGGAGGATTCCTTGAGCCTTGATTTAGAGGTTACAGTGAGCTACATGGTAACAATGCACTCCAACCTGCAGGAGGAAAAAAAAAAAAGTCCTGATTAAATACTTGCATACCCAGGGAAGTTTTCACAAAGTACTCTTTAAGGCAGATCTTAGTGAACAGAAATTCCATTCTTTCCGTAGGAAATTAAGAGAGTGTGGGTGTGGTTAGTTAATGCTGATTGAACTATCTTTGGAATCTCATCTACTGGTCTATCTGGTCTATTCATATATGTATATTCCATGTGCTGTCTCACTGAACTTTGCTGGTTTATGCTGCAGTAACGAAAGCCCCCAAATCTTAGCAGCTGCACATACAAAGGTCTATTTTCATTGACATTTCCTTTTCTGGCAGGTTAGCTGTGACTCTACTCTAGACAAGCTCTTTTATTTGTTAGATGGTGAATGCTATGATACTTGGAGAATTTTTGAATGTGGTTCATTCATTCATTTAACAACTATTTCTTCAATATCTGTTTAATACCAGGTAAGGTCAAGTACTGAGAACACAGTAGTAAATAAGAGACAAGATCTCTAATTTCCAAGAGCTTATATTAAAATGAGATTAAATACACACAAAATAATCATAATAATAATGAATATATTCATAAATTAAAGACTTTGTAAATATTCAAAATTAGAAAAATATAAAATTATTAAAACTAAAATGGCTAGGTGTGATGGCTCATGACTGTAATGCCAACACTTTGGGATGACGAGGTGGGAGGATCATTTGAGCCCAGGAGTTTCAAACCAGTCTGGGCACCACAGGAAGACCCTGCATACAAAAGATACAAAATTAGCCAGGCGTGGTGGTGCATGCCTGTAGTCCCAGCTACTTAAGAAGGCTGAGGTGGGAGGCTGCTTGAGCCTGAGAAGTCAAAGCTGCAGTGAGCCACGATCATACCACTGCACCACTGTACTCCAGCCTGGGCAACAGAGCGAGACCCTGTCTCAAGAAAAAAAAAAAAAAAAAAAAAAAGAGGAAACAATTTAATCGATATACTCCTGAAACTATTATGTAGAATCCTATTGTCTACATTACATCACATCAGCCCTTTACTTTAAGTGGCTTAACAGTTAGATATGAGCCATAAAATTTTTCTGGTAATTAAGTATACCTAAGAATTAAGTATAAAAGAGATATTGCCTTGACAGGAAGATTGTAAGAAATTTTAAAGACAAATAAATAAATAAGAGAATAAAACCTGTAGCTCTGTGAGGTGCAAATAACACCTAATTGAAGTCACAACGAACATCTAGCAATCATTCTGAACACCACAGAATTCACTTAATACATTTTGCCTGAACTCCCAACTGATCTCACTTACCAACACCTGTATGTAGCCAAGAAATTGACAATCATTTATAAATTACCACCTATGACTCCATCTGCTCTACCCACTTAAAAATTACATGTATTTTTTATTATTTATTATTTTTTGGAGAGATTGGATCTTGCTGTGTTGCCCAGGTTGGTCCAGAAACAGACCCACACTGATTTTGTCAATCAGATGACCATACAGCCATCCAATTGATGAAAAAAAGTGCTACACAGTGCAGAAAGACAAAGGTGGTGTTTTCCATACATGGTACTGGATCAAGCAGTCACATCCATGTAGTAAAAAGTGAATCATGGGTGGGTGGGTTGGCTCGAACCTGTAATCCCAGCACTCTAGGAGGCTGAAGTGGGCAGACTACTTAAGCCCAAGAGTTTGAGACTAACCTGGGAAAATGGTGAATCCCCATCTCTACCAAAAAAATACAAAACTTAGCCAGGCATGGTGGCATATGCCTACGGTCTCAAGTACTCAGGAGGCTGAGTGGGGAGGATTGCTTGAGCCAGGAGGTGGAGGTTGCAGTGAGCTGAGATTATGCCACTGAGCTCCAGCCTGGACAATAGAGTGAGAGCCTATCTGGGGCGGGGGGATGGGGAAGCATAAACTAAACTAAAATTGCTATGAGATTAAGTGTTCATATTCTTAGGTTAGGCATTGATTAACAGGACACAAAAAGCAGTCACCATAAAGGAAAAGATTGATCAAGTATAACTTCATTAAAATTAAGAAACTCAGGCTGGGTACACTGGCTCATGCCTGTAATCCCTACACTTTGGGAGGTCAAGGCAGGTGTATCACTTGATCCCAGGAATTCCAGACCAGCCTATGCAACATGTTAAAACCCAATCTCTACTAAAAATACAAAAAAGAACTGAGCAAAATGGTGCTCCCCTGTGGGTCCCAGCTACTTGGGGGCTGAGGCAGGAGGATCACTTGAGTCTTGGGAGGTGGAGGTTGCACTGAGTTGTGATTGTGCCACTGGACTGCAGCCTGAACGACAGAATGAGACCCTGTCTCAAAAACAAAAAGAAAAAAAAAAAACTAAAGAATCTCCATTCATGTAAAAACACCATTAAAACAGTGAAAAGGCAAGCTACAGTTTGAAAAATAGAGAAATGCAATACATATAATACATATATATCCTAGAAAGGACACATATCCAGAATAAAGTATTACAAATCAACAGAAAAAAGCATATAAATGAAAACGGGATACAAAGATTGAACAGGCACTTTACAAAAGAGGACATATAAATGGCAATAAAAAATAATCTCAATACCAGGAAAATGCAAAATGAAACTACACTGATATATTACTGCACCTCTACTAGAATGGCAAAATAATTTTTAATTGAGAAGCATAAGCAAAAATGTGGGGTAACCGGAATATTCCCTGCTAAACGGTACAACCACTTTGTGAAAGTGATCAACAATATCTGACACTAAAGTTTTGTCATTCATATACCTCTAAAACCAACAATGCCACTCCTACATATATACACCAATCTAGTAATGTTCTATTTCTTGATTTGTGGTGAAATTTACTTAGTGTAAATTTATTCCCTGTATTTTTTTTTCTTTTCTTGAGACAGGCTCTCACTCTGCCATCCAGGCCTGAGTGCACTGGCATGATCATGGCTCACTGTAATCTTAACCTCCCAGGCTCTGGCGATCCTCCCATCTCAGTCTGCCGGGTAGCTAGAATTACAGGCACGCAACACCGCACACAGCTAATTTTTGCCTTTTCAGTAGACGTGGGGTTTTGCCACGTTTCCCAGGCTGGTCTGGAACTCCTCGGCTCAACTAATCTGCTCACCTTGGCCTCCGGAAGTGCTGGGATTACAGATGTGATCCACCGCCCCCGGACCACCTGCACATTTAAAATTGTGAGCTTCTTCTGTAGACTTCAGTAACTTTTCCAAGATTTCTTTGACACAAAGTTCTCAGAAATCTTAAAGCTAGCATTTTGGAAGAGAATAAACCAGCTTCTGGTTCACAGGTGAAATTTTACCAATAAAATTTAGAACAAAGATTAAATAAAATTCAGAACAAAGATTAAAAACTACCAGCAGATTACTTTTCTTTTTTTTTTTTTCCAAAAATATATTTATTTTTAAAAGCAAAAAATCAGATCAGTTTTATAGAATCAAAGTTTCCAGAGACAAACCAGAGTCTGGATTCCAGCTTAGAGTGCTAGTTAAGCATCAGTAATCTCATGCAGAAGCAGTTATCTCTGACATTCTGCTTGACTGCAAGCACTCAATTCTCTAAATCTGGTTTGTACTTCTGCCATCATTTTATTCCATTCCATGGCTCTGGCATGCAAGATAATCCATCTCTAAAATTCAAGACTTCCAAATTGAGATGAACGATTATTGGGCTTGGGTTGGGGTTTATAACCAATCCGATCATTGATCATTTGATCCCGGCTCTTGGGATCACTGCTGAGCCCAATGGCTCCTTCTCCATCACTGCCTCCTATGACTTCCACATCTTCCTTCTGTTTCTTACGGGTCTCCAGGTCCTTTCGAATGCTCTCAAACTCATCAATGTCATCGAGCTTTAGCTCTAGGCGTGTTGGTTTTCATCTCAGCATATTGAAGTCAACACTAAGGGCCAAACCCAGTGAACTATTAGCAATTCACAAGATTATTCTCAGCGTTTAAACAGAGCCTAAATGTGTTCGTCATTCATTAAACAAATACTTCTTGTGCTCCAGCTACAAAGTTAAAAGGTACAGTCATAATCTCGGATCCCTGGCGAGGGTTTCCATGGTAACAAGGTCTTCGGCTCCAGGAAGACTTAAACGCTCCGGTAGGCCCGGGGGGCACAGCGGACCCCGGAAGTCCTCGACTCGCTCCAGAGTTCAGCCCCCACTTTTCTTTAACTTTGTCAAGCACTGGGAGTCAAAGAAAAGATGGCACTGCAAGAAAAGACTTCCTTTTGAAAGCAGCTTTACCAGTGAAAGACAGAAGGAAAGCGAGGAAAGCATTCCAAAAGTCTTGCTTAATTCTTCTGCGAGAGGATACCCAACGAGATGATCTGAGAAGCTCCCAAGGCAGAGAGACACAGGGAAACCACAGCAACTCTTTGGAGCGCAAACAGCAGCACCACAATCCAACCTACTGGAAATGCTGCAATTAATTTTAGGCTTGCCCCGCTAGTCCCTAGGCGATTCAGCGACGGCTACAAATGCTCCCCTAGTGCATCCTGGACCTGGCACACCTGGCTTGCCCACCACCAGGCTGGAGACAGCGCCAGGGGCGGAATCCCAGAGGCCAATAAAGACCCCAACTTTGCAAATTTGAGGCTTGAGATTTCTCGCCCCTCAGGCCCCCAGAGGGAACCGATTTTTGGCCTCAAAGGTGGGGCAAAGGGTCAGTGTTCTCCACCAGATCTAGGAGGATGTGCCACCGAAGCTGCTCCATCCCTCCAACCCTGGGATGCCACAGGAAGACCCGCGGACGAGTTTCTTCCCCAGAGCCCACAAGAGCAGGGCTGCGGCCTGCAGCGGCAGGTGAGGAACTTAAGCGCTCGGGGGGGCCCGGGGCTCCCGCCGCGCTGGCACAGCGAAAGTTGTGGAGGCCCCCGCCGCGCACATCGACCCAGCTGTGCGCCGCAGGTCCGGGACTCACCGCCCTCCCGGCTTGGCGCGGCGCCCTCACCTCGGAAAGGCTGGGTGGACTTCCCCCTGAACCTTGACTTCCTACTAAACTTTAAACTTTCAGTGCAGATCCCCGCCGCCGCCCAGCCTCGCACTCACCTCGGAAACGCTGCCTGGACGTTCCTGTAAACTTTAACTCAGCGCGCCGCCGACGCACCGACCCGCGCGACCAATGCGTGGCCCGCACCTATCGCGACGCTGACGCCCAGTACCCGCCGACGCGCCGCAGACCCCGTGGACGCCGCCATCGCACCGCAGACTCCACCGATGCACTGACCCCGCGCGGACGTCACGCGTGACCCAGACACGCGGCAGATGCTGCTGACGCCCCAGACGCGCCGACCGAGCCTCGGACGCCGCCGTAGCCCCGTGGATGCTCCGCCCTCGCCGCTGATGGCCCCGACGCGCGGAGGCCGCAGACCCTCTGTACGCCGCTGTCATTACTGACTGACAGCGCAGGGGACGCCGCCGACCCGCTGACCGCGCCACGGATGCCCGCAGGAGCCTTTCCCTTCGGAAAGGCTGCAAGCAGCAATTGCAGGCACAGAAAACATCACAGAACATGGGGCCTCTTCTGGCCAGTGGCTCTCAGGGTGACGGGTGCAGGAATAACCCAGGGTGCCGTTACTCAACTCCAAGCCTCCTCCCCACCCGGAGAGTCATGAGTGGGCCACTGGCCCCCAGAGATGGTGGCGCATGGGGTTAAGTGAGGACAGACCCTGTTCCAAGCCAAGGTCAAGGGGGAAGGACACGATCTGCGGAGTGGCCTGTGGGAGCCACAGACTTGGGCAGTGAACGAGCCCACCACACAGGTCGCTGCCCTTTACAAAGCCCCAAGTACACCCTTCCGCTCTCTGGGCATCAGCTCCACTTTCTGGAAACACACTGGCTGCACTGGATCAGCGTTCCAGTACAGAGCCCTCGGGAAATCAGGTGAAAGCTGCAGCCCCCGCTTCTCCGCAGACACAGATGCGTGGATTCGCGTAATGAAGAGGGAGAGGAGGCAGCCTTGAACTCATGCTAGGAAACAACTGTGATCATGGTCAATGCTAGACCTGGCAGGTCCATCCCTGAGCTGGGCCCTGCGCCAACCGCTTCGTGCAGATTTTCTTGTTAATCCTTCAACCATGCTAGGAGTCTAGGACTACTGCGTCCAGTGAGAACCAGGAGTTAGGCCTTGGTGAAGGTCACATAACTAGTTAGTGGCAAATTAAAGCTCACCCCTCGAAGAGGCCAGTGATTTCAGACTCGTGAATCTCTTTCTCTTTCTCTTCTTCTTCTGTTCATGAGCTTCGATTTTTTTTTTGAAATGGAGTCTCGCTCTTGTTGCCCAGGCTGGAGTGCAGTGGCATGATCTTGGCTCACTGCAACCCAGGTTTAAGTTATTCCCCTGCCTCAGCTTCCTGAGTAGCTGGGATTGCAGGTGTCTGCCACTACACCTGGACAACTTTTATACTTTTAGTAGGGACAGCGTTTCACCACGTTGGCCAGGCTCGTCTTGAACTCCTGACCTCAGGTGATCTACCCACCGCATCCTCCCAAAGTGTTGGGATTACAGGCATGTAATCCTGTCCCAGACTCCTGATTTCTGATGCAGCAGGACCACCTAGCCATCCCAGCACAAGCTGCAGCCTTTGTCTTTTTAGTCCCTCTCCCCTCCCCACTTATTTAGAATTGTGGATTCTAGGCTTGGTGCAGAATCCACAATTCTATTGCTGGTTCATGCCGGCAATCCCAGCACTTTGGAAGGCTGAGGTGGGTGGATCGCCTGAGGTCAGGAGGTCGAGACCACCCTGGCCAAAGTGGCGAAACCCCGTCTTTGCTAAAAATACAAAAGTTAGCCAGGACTGGTGGCACCTGCCTCTAATTCCAGCTATTTGGGAGGCTGAGGCAGGAGAATCACTTGAACCTGGGAGGCAGAGATTGCATTGAACCCAGATCTCACCACTGCAACCCAGCCTGGGTTACAGAGTGAGACTTTGTCTCAAAAATAAATAAGTAAAATAAAAAAAGAACTGTGGACTCTATATAGGGCATGGTGGCTTACACCTGTAATCCTAGTACTTTGAGAGGCTGAAGTGGGAGGATCTCTTGAGCCCAGAAGTTTGAGACCAACCTGGGCAACATAGTGAGACCCTATCTCTATTTAAAAGTAAATACAAATAAAAATAAAACTGCGGACTCTAGCATGCAGGCATGGGGAAAAGTACACAGAGCAGGTGCATGGAGTTCAATGTGTGATCACGAAGCCAACACTCCGGTAACCCTCAGGTCTGGAAGGGGACGCCCCTGCCCCCCAGAGCCCTCCGAAATGTGCCCATAGACACCTCCTTGCTTTTTTTCACCTTTCCCCTATTTGTGTGCACCCCTAAATGTTATGGTGAAGTTGGACTTGCTGTTGGACTAAGTGTGAATGGAATGATCTTTCATCTTTGCTGGACGTCCTGTTAGATTCATCCATCCTCACTTGTCCCTAGGACCTGGAAATGGTGCTATGCAGTCCCTGGGGTTACCTTGCAGCCTGCAGGTGTCTTATTCCAGGAAAGCAGGCCCACACCGAAACCCACTGGCTGCAGCTGAGTTTTGTTTATTTAAACCCAACCCGTCCTGCTTAAAGCCTTATTGCAAAATATGCATTCCTGGGCTTCTCTGGTTTTCCTTGCGCCTGGGTCCCCTTTAGACTCCCCCAGCAGCTTTCCACTGTGAGGCTCCAGGCTCAGGGACCCACCCTGCCTTCCTGCCCCAGAACTCCTGTCCTTTCCTCCTTCCTGGAAAAATCCAAGTGGAAAGGTATATGGGGGGTGGGGAGGTCCTAGACCGGTCACATTAAGGGGTGGACTTTTTCTCCGTCTACCCTTCCATCCACACACACATTTCCCAGCAGGACTCTCCAGTGGGAACCCAGAAGTAAAAAGTTCCAAAGCAACTCCACTTTTTCTTTTTTTTTTTTTTTTTTTTTTTTTTTTTTGAGGTGGAGTCTTGCTCTGTCACCCAGGCTAGAGTGCAGTGGCGCAATCGCGGCTCACTGCAACCTCCGCCTTCCAGGTTCAAACAATTCTCCTGCCTCAGCCTCCCAAGTAGCTGGGATTACGGGCGCTGCCACCGCGCCCAGCTAATTTTTGTGTTTTTAGTAGAGACAGGTTTTCACCATGTTAGCCAGGCGGGTCTTGAACTCCTGACCTCGTGATCCACCTGCCTTGGCCTCCCGAAGTGCTGGGATTATAGGTAAGAGCCACCGCGCCCGGCATAACTCCACCCTTTAGATCAATATAATGTCTTCACCATTGATACTGCGAAGAAAATTCTTGCGTTGGGCTTCATTCACCCTGAAGCCATTGTTTCAAAAGCTTTGAGTGAAGTTGGCTGAGTATGGGTGTGACACACAGACACATCGCTCGCTCTGGGGGAGAAACCCTTCCGGGTCTCCGAAGCTGCCCAGGGTTCTCGCTGAGACTGGACTCATCTAAGCTCAGCTCAGAGATTTGGCGCAGGATCTGACCCTCCCTTGCCAAAAAGACCGCTCTAGAGGTGACTGCGCAATACTCCCACCCCACCGCTCCGACCGGCCCCAGGAGCCCTCCACCTACCGTCCCCGACCACTGGGAGGCCTAAGGGCTGCCCTGGATTCTGGCGCCCTATCGCCACCGAGGGAGAGTGCGTGTCCTTTCCAGCTGCTAGTGACACAGTCACAAAGCCCCACAGGAAGGGTGATGTCGCACGGTCCCAAAGCCCCGCCCATGGGGGGGTTCGCGAAGTCCTAAGCCTCCACCCCCTCTATGGTTGTGCCAGATCCGGAGGCAGGTGTACCCGTCTCTCAGACCTAAAGCTGCCCCCGCCCCGCCCGTGGTTCCCTGCAGGAGGCGGGTGTGTGTCGCGGTTCCGAAAGCTCCAAGGTTTCTACCCCCGTCCCCCAACTGTTGGCCTCTGCAGGAGGCCGGGGAGAGGCCGCTGCCAGCTCTAAATCCCCGCGGGTGCTTGCTCGCCACAGGAGGCTTCCAGGGCCCCCAGTCCTCCTCAACCCGCTTCGGGAGGAGCTGGACGCTGTAGGACTCCGCAGCATGTCCGCTGAAGCTCGGAGCCGGCCGCACGCGGAAGATGAGCGGGCCTCCACCGTCTGCTCCAAATCCCTAATGTCAACCCGGCTTTTCTTCTTTAAGTTAAAAGTTGCGCTTTAAACCAAGTGGCACGCAGATCCGGTAGCTGCC